CAAAATAAGTCATTAGTGCATTTGTTGTAAAAATAAACATATGAAACACTGTTCTATTACGGTGGACTGTGTCCTTGATATTAGTCGTCAAGCGCAGACGTTGAGACTTTTTAAGAATGGCGTATATTCAAAGAATGGAGATAAATGTTCAAGAAAGTTTAATGTCTTTCATTAACGTTGAGAAGACAGCAAGACCTGCTCTATCAGAGGTCATTCTTGAAGAGCTAAAAAAATATATACCATTCGAAGGTTACTAAGGTCAGGGATGTGATAACGGCGCAAGTACGAGACGTTAACACAAGGATGTATGAACTAGAAAATGTCAGTTTTCGTTCATTGTTGATGTCAGTCACTCTTTGAACTTTCACTCGGAACTGACTAAAAACGTTTCTTCAAAGACTGCATACTATTTTTGCCGTATCGAGTAGCAGATGGTCCGTTGTGAAGTCCTTTGTCAATATCACTCTAAAAACAGTTGTCGGCACTAGATGGCAGTGTAAAATGGAAAGTTTAAAAGTGGTAAGATACAAATGAAACGCATATTGGCAGGCAGGAAATTTAAGGAAACTACAACGTATATTGCAGCCTATTCTGAAACTGGATCGTTCATAGATGAACTAGCAGTATACAGATTTCTCATTTACTTATAATTAGGTACGATGTCCCTGTACAAGTAAAGCAGCTAGTCAAGTATGAAAACTAAGATCGCTATTCAGTGGTGTACGTCAAACCTTATTCTAATATACTGTACATATATGTATATATATAGTGCTTGCAATGATTGAAATATATTGATTTAAAATGAGTTTAAAGCTGTCACGACAATGGTTAAAGAAGTGGAAGAAGAACCATCAGCTATCCCGTAATTACAGACTTTAAACGAAAGAAGGGTCTTATTATTCACGAATCTAAGTATTAGCCAATCATAGCTGCGCAGAACATGTCCAAAACTGAGTTTTTACTCCGGGGTACAAATGTCTTTCAAGGACCAATTATTTAATTTTTGGTGAACGTATCTCGAAGTTCGAGGTTACCCTGAGGTTAAATTACTTACGTATTTATGATAGCAAATTAGGATATTGAAGAAATATTGGTTTTTTAGGGCGAGGAACTTTTTGATGTATATTTTAGGCTGGCTACTGCGAAAGTAAAAAATATAACGGTGTGTGTGGGTTGCACTCTCGGAGTGCTTTTCTAATTTTATGTTGCAACGGTCTTTCTTTTAAGCTTCTGCACACGATTCCTTTAAAACATTTTACTTAACATTCTCAGATATAAGAGATATTTCAGAAAAAAAAAAACCGTCAAACACACATACATGCAATACGTATTTATTTCTTCTTGAAATAAATATTTATTAATTAAACAATATTTTAGAAAAAAAGAATAGAAAGTCCTTTGACTTTGCTATTATTTTATACTAGCAAAAACGCCCCCGGGCCCGGCATGGCCAGGTGGTTAGGGAGCTCGACTCGCAATCTGCGGGTCGCGGGTTCGAATCCCCGTCCCACCAAACATGCTCGCCCTTTCAGCCGTGGGGGCGCTATAATGTGACGGTCAATCCCAATATTCGTTGGTAAAAGAGCAGCCCAAGAGTTGGCGGTGGGTGGTGATGACTAGCTGCCTTCCCTCTAGTCTTACACTGCTAAATTATGGACGGCTAGCGGAGATAGCCCTCGTGTAGCTTTGCGCGAAATTCAAAACAAACAAAAATGCCCCCTACGGGTGGCTGTTTGTGCTAGTAATTATTAATCGTAGTATTCATACCTTATTGAAAAAAAAGGTTTTTAAGTAAACATTTTATAAAAAATGATTTTTTTCTGGGAAGTACTGCGCGGGAAAAGTGTTCGGATTGTGCTCTTTAGTCATACGCATTTTACTGCATCAAAATCATTCAATGTACAGAGCTAAAAATTTTCATAAATTTTAATCAAATAAACTGTAATGTTTTTATATATTAAAAGTGGTACCGTTTGTTGAAAAGATAATAGTTGTTTTTAAGAATTCCTGTTTCTCAGTACTACATTTAAAAATTACATCAATAAAGATATCATCAAACTCTCACGTACGATCTTGTGTTCTTGTTGTGAAGAGAGTACTTTTATTTTAAATTGTGTTCTATAAAAAAGAAATGGTTGTTGCACATACCACAGTTATTTTTCTAATTCACTGAATCTTGAATAACCCAAAGTATGATTTTTTTATGGAGTTTTGTTTGTGGTTCCATTCAGTAGATGGCGCAAGAGTTTTGGTTACATACATAGATAATGACATACACCCAACGTCCATAGTAGTAAGAATATCATTTTGCATTAACAAAACACAAACCTTTCTGAACTAATTAATGAGAGAGGAAAAATATCTCTAAAATAAGATTAATAAATGCAACAGTTATAAAAACAGTATATTGTAAACCGAGCATTTTTGAATCAAAATAGTAAGATATCACCATATCTAAAATACTTCTTAAACCGTATTTTGAAACGTCATGTGTTCTTGGCTTAAAATATAATTACTAACAGAATTTCCGTTGCATACTAAGTTATTTATAAATAATTGGGCACAAATGTCTATTATTTAATTGATTTTTTTCTAGATGGAGAGGGGTAGCTGTTTGTCTTTTATTATAAAACACGTGCTTGCAATGCTGGGTAGTGGGCAGAAAACAGTCAGTCAGTTATTAATAGTAGGCATGTCGTTTTACTCGGTACAATAATTTAATTATTCACTAGTGACGTATTTGATTATCTTGTTTAAAGGCGGTAGATGGTAGCTTATTTTACTTACTTTTGTTGATTTTTATATTAAGTACCAGCAATTTAAGTAGGATGTTAACTTGTGCATAAAGGTATAAGAAAGGTAAAAAAAATCTAGATTCTAAACTTTATAAATTATCAAACCTGAGAGCATAGTTTATCGTAAAAAAAGAGAGTACAAACAGATATTTTTTTACAATAAACTGATCATAGTTTAACATCAGTTTTGAATACCGTATGTTCCTATTGCTGTTTCTTAATCAACGTTTTCTTAAAACAATTTCATTTATTTGGTTGCTGTAGTGTTTTGTGCTAGCTAGCAAACTGCCAAAATTATATAATTATTAATAGCCAACCATAAAGAGTTACATACAAGGTTAGGCATCATTGTGGCTTTTCACTGAATAATCCAGACATGGAACTCGAAAAGTTAAACACCTTTTAGATATTTATAACCATTATAAGTTTTCTATTAAAAGTAACATTCAAAAAAACATTTTGTACGTAGTGCTATTTTATTATAGGCCATGGTAAGCTGGATAACAATAAAAATGGTTTGTTTCATTTTATCAATTTTTTGTTTTTAAATTTAACCGAGTCAAGAAAATTGCACGCAGTTTGTTTATTACTCCGCGAGTTGTTTTGTACTTTAAGACACCAGGTGTTGTCGTTCTTTCATCTCAGAGTCTTAATGTCATCCCAAATACTAAGATTAGTAAAACTTAATGTATCTTGCAAAGAAAGATAAAAATAAACATTTATTTATAATGTTAATTATTTTCCGAATTTCAAAGTCAATTCCATGTGTATTTGAAGCTTATAAAACTTGCATGTTTCGGATTATGATGATAGAGGGTCATTCAGTTGTAAAATACATAAATCTATTGTGTTTTTGCAGAATGACCTGAGAAATATTGTATTAAAATGGAGAAGTTATATTAAGATCTCGATATACTTCAAAAAAAAAAAATTTAGTATTCCTGTTACATATTACAGCTTTAAAACTACTTATATATTAATAAAACTAGGCTAACTGATACCATCACACTAACATTGCAGATTCTTAGATGAAGTCTGATAAATCTGTAGTTATAAATAAGTTAAAACTTACTATTATGTCTTAACGTAGTACAGAAAATAAAAGAAATATTTATTGATATGTATAAGAGATATGTGTTTGATACAAAAGTAAACGTTTCGAGATTGACTTGCCTAACAAGGATATTCTTAAGGGACTAAATATGAGAAACATGTTATGAGTAAGAACCAAGATGTAAAGATAATGACACTCTACAGTTCTTCTAAAGTGATTAGCTTGTCTTTATTTACTCATCGTTCATACCCGAAAGAAAATTTAATTAAATTACCAAAATTCGATCTGGTTATTTGGAAAGAGCAAATTTATTGCTTTATTTTTTGGGACATTCTGGTAAGATTTTACCGCCTTCGTTGACCTACAGGAGATACTTTTACTTTAGCAAAATTGTACCTTGAAATAATGACTCTCTGTTACCCCAGGAACCGGAGTTAATCTCAGACACAATATGAAAACAAAGAGTTATGAAGAGTTAAATATGACTTACTCCTCTCAGTACAGTAAATTCTCAGTCTCAAAACTGTTTCGTTTCTGATCTGTTTTAATTCATGAACACCCAAATAAAAAAACAAAGATAACCGAATTATAATTTCCGTTTCCATGTGCTTTCTATCAAACCATAGCTTGTTATAAGATATGCGTTGTGGATGTATTTTAACAAATCAAGGCAGAAATTCAGGTAGGTGTCATATTTTATTGGAATGTAATTTGTAAGGTTGAGTGGTAAAAGCAAGTCTGTTTTATAAATACCATGAGTAAAAAACAAAGTACTAAAGTATTGAACATGATATTCAATTGTATTTTCTCAGTTTAGTTACAGATTTATGATTGTGAGAATAGCATTGAAGAGGTACAACAATTATCACTAGACAAAAGAAATGTTTATTTTTTAAACGTATGGGTGACCTTACCATTTTCACAAGGGCTTTTTATAGAAATGTTAATATTCTTTGAAAAATAAGTGAACTTAAAATCAACCACACTTCTCATTCAACCAGTTTTATGACTGAAATTATGAGAATAGGATTTCATAGATTGTTCCTGATGATTTGATTACAGTTATTGCGATTTAAAAAAAAAATTAAGGCATTATTTTCCACCATGAATTATTAATTAATCATGGTCGTAATTATTATTTTCTTTGATAGCTTCCTCTTCAGCCCGATGATAAAAATCCCAAATGTGACTTATCCTGTGAACTTGAGGAGCCTTCTTTAGTGTGTGGGACAGACGGACGGACTTACCAGTCACCTTGTGAGATAGAGCGTGCAAAATGTGAAGGATACCCCGTAAAAGTGAAGAATGAGGGAGAATGTTCTGGTTAGTATGCGCACACTGTGCACACTCTAAACAATGAGTATTTTAACCGAACAGTGAGTTATTACTACGTTTTCTCAAAACCTCGGTGGTTGAAATAGAAGTGTTTAAATTAATCGTCTAAATCATATACTAAAACAACTTAGAGTATTGACTACTTTAAAACCAAGATAAGATAACAAAGCATGCTTTATAATTCATGTAGGATTATCAGGTAATGTAAGAGTATGACATGTACATGTAAAATATATTCTTATTTTGTGTGCTAAAAAAAATATAATTTATACAAAAATACACGCATCGGAACTAAGCGTATTTTGTTGTTAGAGATGTTACCGTGTATTGAAGTATCTGAGCATGTAATTAAATAACTGACAATTTACATATCTTCTAAACTAAGAACTCTGTATTTCCTATTCTCACCAAAAGCAAGGTGACTGCTTTGCCCTGACTGCTTGATAAAAGCAAACGGTTTTGTTATGATTATATCGCTAACAAAAACTTTAAATAATAAACCTGGTGTACGTAAAATAGTATAATGATTAGCGGAATGCTCTAACCACCATTAGCGTACCTGTATATAGCAACTTCGTTTTAGTTGTAGTAGTCAACCGTTAATACTGTTATGTCTCCGGTGGCTGAGCGGTAAGTTCGAGGTCTCGTAACGCTATAATTAGGGATTCTATCCCCGCGGCGGACCCGGCTTAGATAACCCACTTTGCACTAAGACAAACAAACCAACAATGAACTACGTTTTTAATCGAAGTAATACGCAAGAAGCGTACTCAGTAGAAAGCTACTTGTTTCTTAAAGTTTGAGAAACAGAAGTTGGTTCGACTGATTTAATCCAGTGTGTTTCAGATTGTCGTTTGCGCACCAATGCAGTGTGGCGCTGTACAATCACAGCTATGTGCTAATGTGAGATCGATTTAAAAAAGGTCACACAACGAAGTACGAAAACTCGTTAATATCTTTTGTTAGTTGGCAAATTCTAACTCTTGGAGGAGAAAAATAGTTTCTTAAATATAGCTAAGCTCTGCTGGACCTGTCCAACAATTTCATCTTTTCTTATGATGATAACTCAAGTGTCATTTAATCTTGATGAAGGCTCGTTGTGGGGACGTACGAAACTAATATACAAACGGATCCCCCGAGTCCCTCTCCTTGAGACAATAACAAATCAGAACATCGATTATTCCAACAGATAGTCTCCAGGATATAACAAGCCTGCGAATGAGCCTGAATTTTTTAGTGAATGCCCGCTCACAGTAAAATAATCATTGATCTGGGGCGTATTTAATTCTAATTACCGATTTCAATTTGCATAATCTTAAAACTATTTTGTTTCAACCCGATGGTTGCTTTTGATTCGACATATAATGAAATACGTGCAAAATGACCACCGTCAGATCATTGTTAATATGACCCATATTTTTGATTTGCACAAGTGTCACCTAGCGTTTAACAACGAGCCTGTGTACCAGTTGGTATTAGAGAAGTGGTTATCAATAATCTAATACGTACATTTTCAAGCAAACTAACTTGTTCTTTACAAAATCGAGTTATTTTTTAACAGAAGATATAAAGAAACTAGTGTGTCAAGAAACGTATTGGTTCAGTTTCTTGTCCCTTTGAAGGTCGTTATTATTTATTGTACAAGAATTAGAGACCTTCTTTAAGTTACCATATACGACTATATTAATTAAGGGCTTTGACCTCTGATGTGACCTCTGGAAACGGGCCTGCCTCGAGGGTAATTAACTTATGGGCAAATTTACATATGGCACCATCTTTTTTAACATTTGAGACACTCGACTTTAAGCTTGTAAGTTTAACACGTAAAAACATGGAAGTTCAACACGTAAAAACAGAACTACGCCTGTGTGTTCGCATTTCTTAAAATCCGAACAGGAAAAAAAAATCAATGCAATTTTTAAGGACAAATCTTAAGTGACAGTTTAGTACAAGGGTTACAACCTGTAGTGATTAAATATTCCAGTTATGCGATTTTAATTACAAGATATAAACAACACAGATTGCATTTCTGATATGATCTCCAAAGTTATGATAAATAATTGCAGAGTTAAATACTTTGGATATATAGTGATATGTCTATTTTGCTAGGATAAGTATGTTGTTCATCTAAAGTATATTATATTTATTTTGAAATAACCCAAATTTCACGAACAAAGTCTAGAAAACAGGTCAGTTTATCGTTTTAATCTTTAAAAAATTCATGAAAATGTTTTACAGAATCTAACAAAGGGTTATATTTTTCTGCTTTTTTTTTGAGGGGGGGGACGTAATGACATTCATAAAAGGCTGAAATATGGGTCATTTTAGAAGGAAAGTCAACCGAGTAAAACAGGACTTGTGCCTAGCATGGCCAGGGGGTTAAGGCACTGGACTCGCAATCTGAGGGTCGCGGGTTCGAA